GGGGAGAGCTGTGCACTGTGGCTCTGCCCAACCCCACGTGCCCACGTGGGGTCGCTCCACGCACCCCTGTGCAGGGTCAGCCCCCAGGCGAACCTCACCTCTGGGGAGCCGTGCATGGGGAAGAGCTTCCGGGGCCGTTGCTCACACAGGCTCGTGCACGCAGGCGTCGTCCTTTCCACCCGGCAACGTAGCAGTAGCTGTGGCAGCAGTGGCCACCCGGAAAGGACGTGGAGGAGCAGAGACGATGTTTGTAGGTTTACCGTCGACAGCAGCAGAGCGTTCTCTCCAGGTTCTCGGGTTTGCTCTGGAAGTGGGGGTGGGGGTCGCTCCCCTGGGTCACATCCTCCTAGAAGGCCGCTTGCCCTGCGTGTGCTCCCCTCCTTGATTTTCTGGGTGCGCGCGCAGACAGATAGGCCCCTTTCCTCCCCCGGGATGTGATGTTGAGGCCGGTTCGCAGAGATGACAGGGGCCACCTTTGCAGGAATTGGGCCGTGTGGGCTCTGAGGGGTTGGGGACCTGCTGGGGAAACCAGGGCTCTGTTTGTTGTCCCCTCAAGGTGGGGGGATCGTGAGGGTGCACTTCCTGGTGAGGCCGGGCAGCATCCACCCACCGTCTGACCACCAGACGCAGCCAGCCGCCCCCCCTTACCCTCGCTCTGCACCCCCAGCTCCCCCATCACCCAGGCCCACCCCTCCCACAGGGCAGGGCCTCAGGTGCTCAGTAAACATGCTGTCCCTGGGGAGGAGGGCAGCCTTCGTGAGCGCGACCAGGCTGTTATGTAAGCTCGCTGAGGAATGCCGTGGGCGCCGACGCAGCGGGAGCCTGGCCGCGATCCAGGGCCTTGATGGGCTCGTAAACACTTTCCCGTCCGGCGTGCCCCGTCTTGCTGTCTCTGCAGTGCAAACCCTGTGGCCACTTGCATTTTGTCCTAGTGGTTGTGAGGCTCTGTGAGCTCGTGCCCGTGACCCAGCTTCTCCCCGGAGGGTGTGTGTGCAGACACACAGCACCATCACCAATGGCCTTGTGCTTGGGGCCTTCTGGAAGCATCCTTCACTCCCTGTGTGGACTCTGGTCCTCTGGCAGGTGGTTCTTCCAGACCCCTGCGGGCCCGTCCCTGTGCTCCCTCGGACTTGCTGTGCGCACACCCTCTCCCATCCTGTGCCAGCCCTCTCCCGCGCCCGGCCTGGGTCTCAGTGCATCCTGGGGTCCTAGCTCCGTGGTGGCACCTGCTGACCTCTCCTTGGGTTTGGATGTGATCCCAATCTTTTGAAATCGTGGCCCGTGTTGGCGCTCACTGTGCAGACGTCCGGACATCCGCGGGCAAGCTCTCCAGGTCTCCGTCCCCTCAGCGTGCGGTTGCAGCTTATGCTCCGCGGATATGCCTTCCTCCTTCCTCGCGGCCTGTCCCGGCAGCCACAGGCCACCAGCAGGGGGGGTTGGGAGCATGAAGCTTCTTTTGCTGCTCCTGTTAGCTGCTGGGCATTCGGGTGATTTGGGGGAAGAGGGACAGCTGCCGGCTGACCTCTGACCTGGGCGCAGGTGCTCCCGGGGCTTCCACCCCTTGGTGCCAGGTGCCGTTCTCTTGTCGCTGAGAGTCTGAAACAGACACCCCCGTGTGGCGTGAGGGTCAGGCCGGGCTGTTGGCGCGGGCGCTGGTGGGTCGGAGCTTGTCTGAGGGGCCGTTCCATCACGCTTGAGGACACCAGCTGTGCACGGCGTGCGCTGCTGGGGGCCGAGGCCTGGCGGGCCGTGCTCCCGCGTGCCCACCACTCAGTCCCCTCGGGGGCCCGGGCGGGTTTTTAGGCAACACTAAGAAGGCGAGGCCAAGCGGAGGGGTGCGGCTTGTTGCATCAAGACTGAACGAAGTGGGGTTGACCCCGGACCTTCTTCCCTCCAACGCCCCCTCTCCAGAGGCTTCCGGCCTCCGACAGCACAGCACGTGGTTCTCCTGCGTGTTGACCCCGGGTGAAGATTCCATCCTCGTCACAGAATCGCGGGGTCCCCTGCTGTGCCCTCCAAGAAGTCCACGTCCCTGCTGAGTGCCTTCCCCAGGCGTGAGCGCTCCCGGCAAGCTGTGGCGAGCATGTCACGCCCGTGTGCCCCGCGGTGGCTTCAGGGACAGCCTGGGGTGGACGGACGTCATTCCTTTCTTGCAGGGGCCAGGCTTCGGCCCTTGGGTTGTTGGAGACGCGCATGTTCTAAGACCTGACGGCGGAGGGCTGCTGCGCTCTGGAGACTTGCAGACGCCAAGGGGACGAAGGAGGCCCCGGACCTCGGTCCCTGTAATCTTTACGAAGTGCTGTCGGTACTTGAGATCTTAAAAGTGGAATTCGGGGTGCTCTTGTCAAGCAGGCGCTGACAGTTCTTTCCGCTAAGTTTGGAGAGTACGGTTCTGGCCTCTGACCGCCAATGCGAACCAGACCTGCTGGCGTGAGCGGTTCAGGGTTCCTGGCTCTACACGGGGCATCAGGGACCCCGGGGGGCTCCCGGCGGACCGGTCGATCCTGTCTCAGGGTCGGAGCTGCTGTACGGGCTGCGCTGCCCGGAACTCGTGCGTGGACGCGCCTGTGGTCTGTGTCTTCTGAAGACACCTGGTGTCCGTTCCCAAGGTGGGCGGCTGGGTTGGGGGTCGGCAGGTGCCACCCCATCTGTGGGAGGAGGAACTCAGTGTGCAGCACGCAGAGGCGTGTGGGGAGCCTCGGTGTCAGCCAGCATGCTGGGGAGAATCCCACGGACACCCCGTGGGACAGCGTGCGTCCCCGCCGGGCCCTGCTCTGTGTTGGTGAGCTCGGTCACTCCTCCGTTCTGAACCCTTGTCCTGGGGAATGTCTGCAGACACTGGAGTCACACTCGGCCTGGGGAGGTGACTGTGTCCCAGGGCGGTCAGCCGCGGATGGCCTGGGGAGGGTGACCCCCATCTCTGACCCTCCGTTGCCCCCGAGTGCCATGAGCTCTGCCAACACCGCTTCTGGGCACTTGGGGGCGCTGGGATTGGTGACTCTGAGCCACACTGTGGGGGGGCAGCTGTGATGAGTCACGGTGAGCTGCAGAGGGAGCCCCTTGGGTCCCTGTGGAAGGTAGGGCCCGGCCTGGGAGTGCGGGGGAGGAGGAGCTGCCCCTCAGGAACCAACTGGAGGGGGAGCCTATTCACTGGGGGCGGGAGGAAGGCCCCGAGACAGGGCTGTGCTGGGGGGTGGGGGCTGGTCTACCCAGCACTCGTGGTGCCCCTGGCTCCCCCGGGGTCCTGTGCACCGACCCCAGTGGCCACGCTTGGTGGGACTGCTCCTTCCTGCGGTGTGACAGTGGAGCCGGCCTGGGCTGCCTCCTGCAGGATGGAGCTCCTGGTACTGTGGCTTCAAGCTTTGCTTCCCCCCCGGCATTTAGGAAGTTTGGAGAACCAGACCGGTGTAAGTCCGTATCCCCCCTTGTCCTCGTGTCACCCTCAAGACAGACTCAGGCCCGTCCTCCTGGAGAGATGGGGGCACCGGAGACCTCCTCCCACCCTGGAGGGGTCTCCTCTGGGGTCAGTGGGGTCAGCGCAGGCGAGGAGCGCAGGCGAGGGCTTGTGGCGTGGGGAGGCACGCACAGCATGTTCTGGGAGGAAGCACAGAGGTGGGCCTTGGGTTGGGCCCCGCTGGGAGGTCAGAGACCGCACGGAGCCGCAGGAGGAGACGGTACACTATTGGGAGCAAGCGCACCACACTTGCCGCGTGTCCCCAGAATTCTTGCCAGCCGTGTGCTGGGGCCCGAGGCCGGAGCCTGGGGCCCACGTCCCTCTCAGCCGCCCCATGTTTGTCAGCACCGCACACTCCCCAGACCGGCTGTTTACATCTTCTCGTGTATTTATCAGACCGTTTCCTTGTAGATAGCACAGAGGTAAACAACCCCAGAGGGCGCGTTTCCCAGGGGCTCCTGGGGCTTGAGTTTTCCTCTGTGGGAGTGTCTGTCTGGGTGGCCATACGGAGCCTTCCACTGGGGTGTTCTGCACCGCTGAGCTAGACCAGCGCGAGCGGCCGCTTCTCGTTGACCTTTCTGATGCACCAGATGTTTGAGGCCCATCTCTGGCCTAGAGGAGTCGTTGCTGTGAGCGTAGCTGCCTCTGAGAGCCCCTGCCCTGGCCTCCAGCCTCCCCTCCCTTCTGGGCATACATAGTAGAGGGACCTGCTGCCCGTGCTCCCCTTGTCTGAGAACAGAATCCAGCCCGCTTCGGGCCCCTGCAGACCCTGGAAAGGAGCCCCAGCCCTGCTGTGGCCAGGAGGGGGACGGGAGGTTGTTGGCAAGCGTCCTCTCCTGTGAGCCCTCCCCCCGGCCCCCACATCCGTTTCCCCCGGGCGGGGAAGGCCCCCACGTTAAGGTGGGAAATGACTCTCAGGGTCCCTGCCTGCCCACCCTTCCCCGATGGTGCCGAGTTCCCTGCTTCTATCCTGCACATCAGCCCATCACCCCCAAGGCCTGAGCCACCCCCAGGGACCCAGTGCACCCCCAGCCCCGGGGCTGTGGTACCACAGCCTGGGCTCACATCTCCCCCAGGATGCTTCTGGGGGCAGGTCTCAAGTGAGCATCCAGGACATGGGACGACCAGGCTCGGGGATTAAATGCCAGGGCCTCACCCACCCCCCGTCCCCTCCTTCTGTCTCTCCCCACCCCCGTATCCCCCTCGCTCTTTACGTCTTCGCCCACACATAATCATTTAACATCCCACAGGTCGTAACGACCGCCTGCTTCTCGTGTGAAGACAGAGAGGTTTTAAGTTGAAACACAGTTCAGACCAGGGGAACATCCTCTCCATGGGGAGTTCTTAGAGCCTGAAAATGGGGCCATAGGACTCCATCCGAAGCAGGTTCCCGTGTGCTGGTCTGACGACCCAGGCCATGCCCTTCCTGGGCGGAGGTCACGCGGGAGCACCGAAGCTGGGGTCTCTCGGAGGGGGGCTGGCCTGCACCCATCCGTCCGCCACTCCTGCTCAACAGCTGGCCCTTGGCCTGCCCCTCTCCACCCAGGTCAAGTGCTACCACAAGAAGTACCGCTCGGCTACCCGCGACGTGATTTTCCGCCTGCAGTTTCACACGGGGGCCGTTCAGAGCTTCGGACTCGTGTTCGGGAAGGAGGATCTGGACAACGCGAGCCAAGGTAGGGCCACGGCTGATGGGGGTGCAGGGGGCAGTGGCCACGGGTCCTTGGTCATTTCCGTCCCTGTTCAGCCCCACGCCCCGGATGGTGAACCTGCGTGCAGTGCGGTACCAGTCTTTCGGAACGCTGAGCCCTGGTCCACAGAACATTCCGGAAAAGCAGTGGAACTTTGCCACCGCAGGGGCATGGGCGCCATCTGGGTGGGATTGGAAGCACAGCGTTGTCCCTGCTTTTTGGCCACTGCATCTCTGAGCTCGTCGACATGTGATTTTTTTCTCAGATGACCGTTTTCCCGATAATGGCAAGATTGAGTTGCTTTTCTCCGCCACTCCCGAGAAGCTTAAAGGTAGGCGGCGTGCCAAGTGCCGGGGCGCGGTGCTTACCCGGTGGGGTGGAGGGTCCCATGGGGTCTCCGTCCAGTCTCCTGCCTTTGTGCGTGTCGGGAAATTGCCGTAGGGGTTTTTTCAAAGCAGGCTGTCTTTCACGGGGTGGGGGTAGCTAGGAGACAGCAGGGACTGGCTGTGTCAGCAGGACCCCAGGAACAGTGAGAGCTTAGCCTGAGGGAGGGCCCGGACCCTTGGTCCCTGGAGGTCTGTCTGTCCGGGAGATCGTGCTGAATGTTTACTCCTCCCCCTACAAAGAATCGAGTGTTGTTGGAGAGGATGGGACGTACAGTGGACGGCAGATGTATATGTGCAAGGCAGGTTCTCCTTTCTTCTAAAAACGCCCTGAAGGAGAGATCTTGTCCTTTTACTGTCAGGGCGAATGGCTCTATGGTACAGCGAGATCCATATAGGGGAACATTTTGCTTTCATTGCTGGGGACAGTAGTTCCCTCCTAGTGAGGTCAGTGTCCTAATTCAGTGAGTGGTCAAGGTCAAGGCTCGTGAGGTCAGAGCCCCACTGGCCTCCCCAGAGTGTCGGCAGGTGGGCACGTGCGTCTGCGAGCCCGGAGTGGCCAGAGCACCTGCGTCCCCTCTGCTCCCTGCCCACCTGGCTCTGGTCTCGACCAGGTTGTTGAGAACAGTGCACAACGCTGTGAAGGCCACCGGGCCCGTGGGGGCAGGTGTGGGGGTCTCGGCGCTGGCTGCCGGCGCTCACGCCTGGGATGCTTGTGCCTCGTCATCCGGGGGGGCCGGTGTGCCACCGTGTGCCTGGCCTGTGACCGACACCTCCTCCCACGCAGGGTGTGAACACTTGCGCAATGACCACGGAGTGATTGTGGACTTCAACACCGCAGACCCTCTGATCCGCTGGGACTCCTACGAGAGCCTGAGCGTGGGGGGAGAAGGTACGTCTGGCTGCCGCCGCCCTGGGCCAAGGAGGGACAGGGAGGGACGGAGACGGTGGCCTGCTTACCGTCTGCTCAGGGTCTGCAAGCTTTCCAGAAACCCTGACTTCTTTCGGGGTCCAGAGCTCCCCTCCCCAGTGCTGTGGTTTGGGAGAGCCTGTGAAAAGCAGACTTGGGGATTTTGGGTGGCACAGTGGGTGTGGCCTCGCTGGCCCGTGGCCGGGCTGCTGTCTTGCACCCGGGAGCTCCCTCGGCGGGAATGTTTGGGCTTGTGGAACCGCCTCACCTGCCCTGTTCACCCTCGGGATGGACACCTCGGGTCCTGGGTGCTGTCACGAGTGGGGAGAGGCTCTGCTGGGCTCCCCCACAGAAGCGACCTCACACAGGTCCAAGGAAGGATGGGGGCCTTCTCCCGGGCCAACAGGAATAGTCCCCACCCCCTCCATGGTGGGGCCTGATTTGGGAGAGAAAACCACCAGGCTCTTTGTCAAACTGGTTTCCTCTTAATGTACACTAGCCAGAAGCAGGTGTTGTGGAGAGACCTCCCCCCGACCCTGTCGTCGTGGGCCACTGGCCTGCAGAGTCTCCGGGGAGGGACATCTGGTGTGCATGTGGCCAAGCTGTTCCTGTCTTCATGGGGGGCAGTCATGCCTCTCCTCCTGGGTCCAGGGTCCTGGTGGACGGCAGGGGGTGGCTGCTGTCTACGTAGCATGTGGTGTGTGCCCTGTCCCGAGCAGAGAGCCGTGGGGAACACACTGTGGACATCACGTACCCCATCATGTTTCTTCCTTACAAAAGCCAGTAACCATGACACACAAGGAGCGGTTCCTGAGAGACCGGCCGGGGGCCCGTCAGTGTTCACAGCTGGCCCGGGGTCATGGGTCAGAGATCACGCAGGGCAACCTGGGGGAGATAGGGCTCCCGTCCCAGCCCGCTGACCCCAAAGCTCCTCTGGGCAAGTTTCGTTCGGCCGCGATCTCCCCTGCCCTCGCTGGTGCCTGGGCCACGGGAGGCCTCAGAGAACAGAGTCTCGGTCGGGCAGTGTGAGCTGAGAGGGGTTCGTTAGGGCCGATGTCAGTGTCTCCTGCGCTGGGCTGGCCGGGCTGGGGCGCTGCTCCCTGGGACTGGCCAGGCAGCCCCAGGCATGCAGGGGACAGGGACCATCAGGGAGAGCTGGTCCAGCACTGCCTCCTGTCCCTGCTGTGCTCCTCTCCACCCACCGTCCATTCTGTTCCTTACTAACCCGTGCCTTGCTGGACTGGGCGTGCGAGCGCGCCTCCCACAGACCCAGCCTGCCCCAAGGTGTTGGGACTCAGGGATTGGCTTCTCTGCGGGGGCAGTGGGTGGTGGCCCACGGCGTCCCGTTGGGAGGGCCACTGCGAGCAGTGGGGGGCATTGCCGGCCTTGTGGGGCCGCCATCCCCCCACTCTACCTGACACTGACTTAGCGATCACTGGCCTTTGCTCCCGGGCAGTTGGGGTCTTGTGAACCTTGTGTCGCCACATTTTCGTAAGCCCATGAGCGCGTAACTACATCACGCCTGCAGCTCCGTCCGGACGCACCAGACCTAATCTGTCCTGTGGACCCCATGAGCCGCCTCGGCTGGCAGCATGGAACTCAGGCGGGAGCCAAGTTGTGACCTTCTCCTGCTTAGGGTACCAGATGGCCCTTGAGGACTGCTTTTGGGGGTCATTTTAAACAGCAAAAATACAACAAAAATGATGGAAACACGAAAACTGACGCGCAGTAGGACTGGAGGGGGCTCGTTTATGGTGCGGGAGCTGGGACCGCGCGTGTGGGACGGCTCTGAATCCGGCCCGTCTGCGCGCCTCCGTGAGTGATGGTGAGAATGCCACAAGCTGATCCGGGTTCGACGTACCGGTGCTTGGTGAGCGGGTGGACTTGCAGACGTGGAGTCCGCGTACGGCCATTCACTCTACCTGCTGTCTTTGTTTTTGTTTTTGTTTTTGTTTTTTTAAGATTTTGTTTATTTATTTGACCCAGAGATCACAAGTAGGCAGAGAGGCAGGCAGAGAGAGAGGGGGAAGCAGGCTCCCCGCTGAGCAGAGAGCCCGATGCGGGGCTCGATCCCAGGACCCTGAGATCATGACCTGAGTCGAAGGCAGAGGATTAACCCCCTGAGCCACCCAGGCGCCCCTACTGTCTTTGTTTTTTTTTTTAAAATCCTCCTTCCTTCCGTGTCTCCTGTGGGGCTGTGCCCTTTGGGCCTGGTGACTGGGACCCTCCCATCCAGGGGGAGCGTGGGTCACTCCGGTGTGCCTCCTGCCTCTCCACGTTAGCTGTGTGGCCTTGAACCAGTCACTTGATCTCTCTGAGCCCTTCCCTGCTCTGCACAGGGAGTCGTCGTCAAGCCAAGGGGTGCTGAGTGGATGTGGGCCATCGACCCCTGACAGTGCTGCAGGTCACAGGGCCCTGTAACAATGTTGGAGCCCGGGGCTTGGGGACGACCTGGCCTGGCGTGGGGTCGGTGAGGGTTTTGTACCCCCAAGGAGGCTGTGGGAGGGCACGTGGATCTCATCTCTCCCGCACAGTTGGACGGCCACTGTGGCGGGGTGAAACACCAGGGCCTGGGGTGATGGGCTGTGGTGCCCTAGACCCTGGTGACTTTTCCATCACCGTCATCCCAATGTCGCTCAGCGATAAGTGAGTGCACCGTCCCCAAATGTCACCAAGAGTCATATGGAGAGGACTCCCTGGGAGGACTCCCTGAGTGTGGAGCATCACCCGCCCCCAGGGACCAGTGATGGCGGATCTCAGTGCTGACAGCCGGGGGGGACCTCTGTGCAGGGTCAGGAGGCATCTGGCTGCAGGGTGTGCAGAGCTGGCCAGGGAGCCGCGTGGCTTGTGTTCCCGATCCAGCGACGACAGTCGGTGCTGCCATTTCAGAAGTGGATTTGAAAGCTTTCCTGCTTGGAAATCACGGTTTGGTTTTAATGTGTGGAAACCAACGCAAATGTGGACCCTCAGCCACTTCACAGAAGGAGGGTCCGCTGCATCCGGCAGACGAGGTGGCAGGCAGCTCGGCCGGAGTGAGGTGGGCAGGGCCCCTCATCGGCACGATGGACGCCGCCTGCCGAGCTCCCAGGGCTGGGTGCCTCGTCACTGTGTACCAGCCAGGAACGTCCCTTCGCCGCATACCCCCGGAGCTCAGGCGCGTGCTAGGGTCCTGCGACAGCGTCTGCCCCCCGGGCATCCTGCTTGGACCTGGGAAAGCACCTGCCCTTCATGCTCCTGATTCCGGGCTCCGGCCCCCAGCCCACCTTTCAGGGCTGATCCTGGGACCCCAAGAGTTCATCTGCCCCAGAAAGCAGGCAGCAGGCGGGAAGGAGGACAGTGTGCCGACGCGCTCGTCTTACCTGAAGAGCAAGAGTCTCCCCTCTGTGCTCAGAACCGAGGGAACGTCCTGTGGGGGTTCGTTCGACACCGGGCTGGATCCCGTCGCCAGAATGAGCGCCGTGTCGGAGGCAGTCGAGTGAGTGACAGCCGGGCGCGAGCGGTCTCGGCCCTCGGAGCCCACGGTTTTGCTAGCCCTGGTGGCATCTGAGAAACGCCGGCAGGATCCACGTCTGGCTAAGTTTGCCGGCGGCAGCTCACGTGAATGCCCCTGGGACGGCTGAGCTCCTGGGGCGCCTTCGCCCTACACACGGGACAGAGGCTCAGCCGGGTCTGGCCGGGGTTCTCAGCCCCCCGGCCCCCGCCTCACAGCCTTGGACCCAGGTGTGCTCAGAGTCGGGCATGCGCCCCTGTACCGTCCTCCGCATCCCGCGCCGTCCGTGACTGAGGGGGCATCACGCCCGCACACCGATGCTGCACCTGCTGACACGGCCTGGCACTTCCTGCCCGGCCCCGCATCCTTCCTGGGAGTGTGGTGTTTGGACGCTGTCACGGGCGCCCTACCTTGGGGACCGGCAGCTGAGCTGTGATGGCTGGCGGGCTTATGATGAACGCATATTTGCGAGGTTAGGGGGCTCTGATCTCTCAAAGGATGGCTGGGGCATCTGCTACGGGGACGGGCAAGCCACCTTTGGGATGTCAAAGGCCCAGACTCTCGGGTGGGATTCTGGCCCGTGAAGGCAGGCGTAAATGATCCTGGGTTTCTGCGTGGGAATTAACGTTGAGGAGGTAAGTGAAGGCAAAGTCATTCAGCTTTCAGAAGCCAAACCCCAAAACCTGGTAATTAAAGGATCACACCAGCCTTGAAAAAACCTGGAAGGTGGGAGCGGCCCTGCCCACCATCTCCTGGACGGCACATCCTGTGACTTCTGCGGGTGTGCGATGCACAGGTGCCTACGCAAGGCGCGGTGATGGCTTTGTCCCCTGTCCCCCTACTGGACACTCCTGCAGACAAGCTGTTACCAATCACGTCTCATCGATTCCCACGTACTTTCTCTTCTGTGTGCCTCAGCTGGGCAAAGGCGGCGCGCATGTCAGGCCCGGAGGCGGCCTTCTGTGTCTTCCGTGGGGAGACCTGGTCTCTCGCCTGCCAAGTACAGGAAGGGCTCCCCTTTCTCAGTGGCCTCCACCCAGGGCCTGTGGGGGCGTGTTGGCTGTGTCGGGGACATTTCAGCGAGGCCACCTGCACGGGCAGAACGGGTCAGGTCTCACTCCGTGTTTGGTAAGCAGAGCAAGAACCTGAGCGGGACCGGGGCTGGGATGCGTATGTGCCCCCCGGGTGTTGCCAGGTAACCCGGCTCCAGCCATGCGTGATTCCTCTTGGCCGTGGCCTTGATGGGGGAGAGGGAGGGTGTCCCTGGGCACAGGCCGCCTGTCCGTCAACTCTAGGCTCTCCAGCCGGCATGTCCCCGGCCGTTACCCTGCCCGGACCCTCTCTGCCCACCGTCCCTCCCCTGCCTTCTGGATCTGTCGTGTTGGGGATTCTGCATGGAGCCCTACTTGGAGACCAAATTCTGCGGTTGACAGCTGGAAGCCACGGCCCTCAGGGTTGTTTTGCCACAACGCAGCATTGGAATTGGATTTAA